TTAACTTTTGGTTAAAATTTGACAGATGGAAAGTTATCGATGAACCCTGCTATCCGAGCATGGTTATTTCTGACAGACAAGAAGTTAAATTTTGACAACCGTGGGTCAAAAACCGGTCGATCGACAGCACGGGGATTTTCGAACATAGAAAATAACTTTCGAAATGTCACTTTTAACCACGAGTTAAATTTAACTCGGCAAATGGTTCACAGCCTTAGTGTTCTAGATGCACTTCCACAGCCTATTATTTAAAAGCTTTCTATGCCAACTAATGCATGAATTTGTATATTGTGTGACAAAGTACAATGATACTCTATGTAATACCGTGCCTATACTGACTAGACTATCTGAGAAACCTAATCCTATACTATTGGACCTGTAATATATTTTATAGAGCAGTCGAACTTGCCCCATAACTCACCTGAACCTAACCCGTGACATCTCTGAACTTTTTTTTTAAGATAGGGTTAACTACCCCATTTCCGGCCTATTAAGCACAACCCGAACTTAGTCTTTCTTAATCTAGCGTAGTTTAGCACCAAACGGGATGTTATTATTACTGATGGCTTCCAAACTTATTTACCTTTCCGTTTGTACCGTAAGATTCGATAAAGAGAAACCAATCGTTAAAATATTGTCAGAAGTCTAACACTGCTTCTTGACGCCAAACTCGGCCTACGGATTCTAAACTCGGCCTAACGCATTGAAACGCAAATGAATTCACTTCGGCCTATCGGTTGAAGATAAAAATTGATTCGGTCAGAGCGCTTCTTTTCTTTTTGGAAATAATGGGTGCAAACCTTCATATCACGCGTTCATTGACTTCGTTCCGTAGCTTATTAACTAAAGTATCGTACCAAACGCATAATTGACTTGTTAACTCTGAAATCATGGATTTATTTGAAGTTTTCTGTTCGATAGGCCCAAAATGGGTGATTAGGCCAAAGTAGTTCTCTCCCCTATTTAAATTTATTCCATTAGGTTTCTGGACCAGTATTGGAAAACTTCGCAATCCGTCTTTCCTCACTCGCGGTGACTTTTTTTTGTCCCTTCACTAGTGACAGCGAGTCACCTCCCTCAATCGCGGCGCAGAATAAGGGGGAATGTTTCATCGGTAATAAGGGTCAGTATACGTCCGATGGAAATGTCACACAACAAGACACGTCTGAAGATAGTCACGATATAGAATGTGTCTTGTCCTTCTCTACCCTTATTCGGAAAACTGTCCCATATGAATTTTGTCATTTTGTCATAATACATTTATCCTCTACTAATTTTAAATTAGGGGAAATGGCTCTAATGTTGGCCAATGGATCTAAGATTGGGTCCATCGCTAAAAATCTGCTATTTATCAAAATTATCTAGATGAACGCGTCATTGGGACGGTAATAATGGATATTTTTGGTCGCTATTGAACATTTAGTCGATTGCTGTATGGGCCCAAATAAGGGACATTTAGGCCGATATTACATCCATTTCCCCTACCTACTTTGAGTCAAAATTTCGCCATAAAGATGGGTGTTTAAGGCATAGTTTGTTTCAATGAAACCACTGTAAACAGCAAGGATTTCAAGCGTAAAAAAAAAAAATCAAAAGGGGGCCTGACACAACCGGGAAAGTGCAGTAATACCCCGTACAGACTATGGCTTATATCATGTAATATAGGATGTCTTGCAATGAACACTCATACACAGGATTTCTAGTGAAAACTAGATGTATGAGTGCTCATTGCAAGACAGTCTATATTACATGATATTGCCATATTCTGTACGGGGTTTAAAGCAAATGTGGAAAGGATATTCGATTATGGGTAGTACAATTCATCTAGATTTATCCTAGTTGGCTCATAACGTATGTTATCTTGTTCTATAAGTCAGCTAGGTTCATCCCACAAGACGTTTAGATTTGTTTTTCTATATTGTAGAAACGTTCAGCCTTTGGCTGGTTCATTTCTTAAAGACGTTTAGAGTTATTCCACAGGGCCTCTGGACTTGCTCCATGAGATGACTGGACTTGCACTACGAGGCTTCTGGACTTCACTTACAAGGACTCTCAAGAAGCCTTTACTTATCCAAGGAGTAGATCCCAAAAGTTTTCTGATTTTTTCCTACATATCATCTGGAGTTTTTTTCAGTTCTCCAATGAGGAAACCAAGCAGGAAAATATCGATTACTCATAATATGAAATATATAGATGTACATTTGAAAAGGTCCTATCTGAATTGAACGATTGACCTAATATTTTTTTCTTCGTGAATTACTCTAGCGTTCAGAATCGCCTGACTTGTAGGTTGTAGAGTAAATCACGGTTTCGGTAGCCAAATTAAATCGTTGATCTCACTGCATTTTCTCACCCAAATACTTTGCTGAATGTATTCAAACGATTCATTAGTCTTTCAGATTCAATCTGCTTTGATTTTTATCACTGAGCAAACGCATTTTGTCAGGTTTATTTTCAGATGAAACATACGCACTACATCTAGCTAAGGGGTGAAAAGGTTTCTATATTCTTTAAGAGATTTGCAAAGGTCCATAACTGTTTTAACTTATCCATATCAATATTAGAAGAAATTGTCATAAAGGTCAATTTATTTGCCTATTTAGACTATTGTGTAGCGTGCAGGACCAAAATCCATAAATCTAAAAAAAATCCGTCCACAAAATCCAAACATAGTCCATACTTTGTCTGAATAATATTAGTCCGAATGGCAGTTGCCCGAACGCCACGAGCTCAAATGTAACACATACCCGAATCGTTTAAAAATAGTTTGATTCTGAACTCAATATTTGTGAAGCAATAGAAAACTCGTACAGCTTCTGAAATATTTAAATATCTCCTAAAATAGTAGATTCTGATTTCACATAAAACTTTCTATAAATCTCAATGAAGAAAAACAAATTATTTCTCATCAAACATTCCCCATTATTCTGCGAGTCACGTGACTCTCTCTCTCACCGGTGAGGTGACAATAGTCACCTCGTGTGAGGTGACTCTCCATTTGATTTGCATGGAGAGTCACCTCACACGAGGTGACGTGACAATTGACCGGTGAGAGAGAGAGTCACGTGACTCGCAGAATAAGGGGGATTGAAATAGTAGAAATCACACATTTGTCCACAGTCTATTTTTGAATCTCAAATGTAAACTTCATTTGCAGTACAGTACAAACCGAAAGAACTGGTAATGTTTAAAGAAGGAAAAATCTACTAAAATTATTTTTTTTATTTACTATGTCCGGGATAAAGAACTGCTCATAATTGCAAGAAATATTTCTCGATTACTTTTTCGAGTGGACGTTATAACTTTTTGTAAACTTTGGTTGTTTTATCAACAATCGACGATCTAGATTAGGCGTAACTGGTAGCTCACTAACGCATACTAACACCACTATCAGGTAGGGGAAAATTTCCTCTATTTGATGGTAGGCTTAGTATGCGTGGATGAGCTACTAGTTACGCCAAATTGACGATCAAATGCATTGTTTCAAAAGCTGATACGTCCCTTCGAAAAAGTAATCGAGATATATTATATTCGGGCTAGTGACATAAGGGCAAATGTTACATTCGGGCTAGTGTTATAAAACCAGTCCATCAAGTGGACAGATTTCTTATGCGTACGGATTTCGGTCCCGTATGGTAAAACGGAACTATACAAGGCAAATACCGATATTGTGACATTATAAAACAAGTTCTCTTTCTGCTCGCACTTCCCACAGTTAGTCAACTAATTCAATAGTCCTTTCAATGTCGAGCTGGTGAAAGTTTACTTTGATGTTTCTAGAAAATGGGAGAGGCGCAAGTTAAATATAAATCGAAACCGGACAAACAGTTTCATGTTCTTTGCGTCCCACATTCATGCAACCGTGTTCAACACTCTTCTTTTCTTCGTTTTATGTTCCGTTTAACCGTTGCGTATTATTCCTAAACCAAAAAACAACTTCAGTTGAAGTATGTGATATCAATGACATTAAGTTTACTTTGATTCTAGCATATGAATTCGATCTCACATAGTCTGCTTCTACCTTGTCTTCTCTTCTTCCTCAAGTAGAGATGGATGATGATTCGTTCCTTGCCTATATCTGAGACTACGGGAATACAGACGACGCTCGGTGAACCACATCCACCTGTACCGATCCTGTGTGTACGGGATAGTACATTCCAAATATTAAAACCTACTGACTCATCTCGGGTGGGCTATGATTTCATTCTTTCTGTTTCGCGTGTAGAAGGGTTCCTAATTTCTGTTTTTGGACCGTGTCCCACAATATACGCTCAAATTCGAATAATCATTCATTGGCAAATCAGCTGTCTTCTACCTGGTCGTTAACCAAATGCAGCTAATTTTAGCTTGAAGTTCAAGTCGTATAAAACGTCTTAATTCAGTACACCAGGTTACCGTTCGTTTATATCGCTTTGTATATTACACTCAACGTGGGCGGACATTTACAAGCCGGTGGTGCGGAATGGTTTTGTTCTCATCATCCGAACCGTGTGTTTATGTTTACTTCTATAATTAAACCAGCATCCACGCGGCTGGGCAGTTCACACCTTCCTTCCTTTGCCTGATCTTTTTGTTACAATCGACTGTACACACTTTATAGGTAGTTAGGTAGGTGCATTACACCTTGAGTGCGCAAATGTTGACCGTATCATTTCACCGATGCACGGCATGACAAATATTCGGCTAATAAGTAGTCTAAATTTGACCACGTCAACACATCGGTCTTCTTTAACTGTCGCTCGAAAGGGGTCGTGTGTATCTTCCGAGATCGCATGTTTCGCAACTGGTAGATGTGATAATTGTTAATGCAATTTCGAAAGGTTATAGGTATTATACATATCAGGATAATGACTAAAGGGAATAGATGATAGAGGAGCGGACATATGCTATGGTTGGGATTTATCTTCGATACAAAAGGTATCCAAAAATATATGTTTGTAATAGATAGCGTACTCGTATCAACACGTTTCAGCGAACACTTAAGACTTTGATGCCGTTCATTTGTATAAAGTTGACTGCATTGCATGCTTTCCGTTGTTGAAACTAGAATAACACTGACTCGTCACTCAATCATACGCACACATATTCATTCAAGAAAAAAAAATTATCACTTATATAGTTGACTTGCTAAGAGTTCTCTCTCTCTCTCTCTCTCATTACTCGCATCGCATCTTACTTATTAAAAATAATCACGTCGATTAAAACTAATATCACAATGGCATTGATTAAGGGTAAAGTTACGCAAGTACATCTCCCTTCGTCGTTTCTGTTATTCGTTTAATACTTCATTTCTTGTTGTAGTGTTCATATTCAATACGTTGTTGCTCATTTCTCCTTCGTTTTTGTTTTCTTCTCAGGTCCAATTTAGTTTTGTTTTGTCATTTTTGTTTTTTTTCCTAATACATTCACATTCACGTTCTCAGTTTCTTGCATTTGCATAAGTACTCCGGTTACTCGTTTTTATTTATTTTTTTATTTGATTAATATGTGATATTTTCATACTACTTCAAACTCAAATTCAAACGCATGTTCATTCGATACTCGTTCACACTGGCGATGGGCGTTGCTAGTTGTTGGTTTAGCGAAACAAATATTCCAGACAAAAACAAGACCGAAACCAGATACGGAAATTGGAAAATTCGAAATTATGTTCAAGTGGGAATAAACATTGAAGAATGCATAACTGAAATATTTAAAATAAAATATGTTATGTTACCTTTGAAAACAAGTGGTTCATATGTAACATGGAAGAGTATTTAAAGAAATCCTGCCCAAATTGGAATAACGTGGCAGTAACCAGAGAAGACGAGGAAGCAAGGGGAGAGAAATGACGATCTGTTCGGTAACCGGCACCGCATAATCCTTCATTTCCAGTTCGACAAATGATGTCACGGAGAGTAAAACAAGGGATGGACAGGACTTTTGAGTTTTACTATGAAGAACAAATTGGAAATAAAAATGCATCTAAAACGATGCAATTATTGTTTATTTTATGTCATTTCATCAAATCTGAGTGGCGTCCCAGGGTGATTAACCAGCAGCGTTCAAATTGTTTAATGAAATACGAACACAAACCATTGCATTGTCGGTCCACAAGTTACACGCTAGTGTTGAACAGGAAAAATATACACATTATAGAGGCGGACAACAGGAGAAATGAGATGGTGGCAGTCTTTATACCAAAGAACAGGGCAACCTTCGTTTACGTTTCTGACTTCAGAGCTATAGATCCCACGTTCATCTGCGACTCATGTTAGTCGTGTTATGTACCAGCAATACTGAGACCCCCCCCCCCCCCCCTTTCATTGCCTCAGGGTCGACGTATGCCCTAGAATACCTAACCAAGACGACACTTCAAAACTTCATTGTTCGTCCACTTTCTCCACTCTTTCTTTCAATCGTTCGCCTACAGATATGTTCTGCTGAGCTGCGATACCACGAAGCCCACGGGTGAGTGTCCTCGTGGCGACTAGTGGTTGCTTTCAGTTCTAACAACGGATGTGACTGAAACGGTCAATTACGGGGTTTAGTACACCGTACTACATATTAATACGAAGAAAGTTCAAGAATGATCTTATCAAACAGACGCGAAATCAGAAGAATTTCATCGTGGCATGTGACCTGAATGCCAGACGAAGCATCCGTTCCGCTTAACTCAAATTCACAAAAACCACGGTCTGCATGGACTGGGTAAAATTTTCCTCGAATATGAGTATATGTCACTAATTCGACCAGAAATCTGCTAGAATATGAGGAAAATCGAGGAAAAGATTAATCGGTCTACGAGTAACCGTAGTTTTAACGAACTTTAGTGAACACATTGGAAGGAGAGCTTATTGAGGGGAAAAATGCTTCTTCAGCTAAACATTGGCTTGTTCAGCCTTTAATCAGCTCAAATTGTGTGTTGGAACGGAACTGAAATTTGAGTTGAATTCTGCACGCTAGAGACATATTCTTAGACGGAAATGTTGAAGAAGTAGAGACGGAGATTTGTCGAAAAAGCTGTTTTCTTCTACGCAAACATCCCTAACACGGGCATCAGAACTTAGGAAATCATCATGATATTGGTGGGATTTGAATCCCAAATGTACATCCAATGACAACTAATTAGCGACGAGAATAGCAGACGTTCAGGAATAACAGCCAAAAATGAAGTGTTTCAAACAACGGATATGTGTTGACCAGTCAAAATATAAACGAAGAACAAATGTAACACCCTTTCCCATACAAAACAGAGCCTCATCGCACATCGCAGCAAATTATCACCACACAAACATTCTCAGTTTCAACAACGGAAACAGACATCCGCAGTCACGTTGTATCTCGTTTTAATATTCTCAATATTCTAGCCTCTTCCGTTCCCGACATTGTTGTGTATAATTTAAGTAATTCGTAACTTCTCACCTGCTCAGTTCCGCGTCCCGACGTATTCTTTCTTCAGTTTTCTAGACAAATCGAGTTCTTCCGTGTTCGCATTTTAAAGAAGGCACATTAATTACTTCTTGCTTCTCAATAAATCGATAAAATAAAACTACGATGGTTGTTGGAGGAAACATGCAAACCGGTAACACACATCACCTCCCTCGGGCGCTCTATCAAGCTCTCTCGTCCGTTTGGAAATCATAGCGCATCCGAGCGGTTCTGTAGTAGGTACCTACCTCGAAAAAACAACCTCTCACCTAAATCGTTCTGAAGACAATCAATCATATCAACCATTCGACACTTTTACGTTCCACCCAAGTCGGCTACTGAGCTTGCGTGTCATCCGGTGTATGCTGATGTTGTTGCTGCCGCTGTTGATGATGCTGCTGCTGCTGCTGTTGTGACGGTATCTGAGACATCGTATCAGTCATCTCTACAAGAGAGTCCATCGAACGGATCGAATCTTGGGACGTCAACGATGCGTTCTTGAACATAGTGGTCAAAGAATCCCTTGCCAGCTGGCCGAGATGACCGGTTTGCAGGATACCTCCACCGGATGGTATGGGTGATCCTTCGGCCATGTTGCTACTGATACTGATTCCGCTACTGTTGGTGGTGGTGCTTCCGGTGCTGGTTCCCAGTATGGATAACAATGGTCTGTGGAGGTCTGCCGAACTGCCACCACTTCCTCCGCCGCCACCGCCAAACTTGTTCGTGAGAGTGTCGATATCATCCTCGGAATCGTCGTAGTCATCCCCTAGACGGAATATGACTTTTGGATGAGGTGAGCCAACAGCTGTTGGAGCGGCTGCTGGTGCTGGCACTGCTGCACTCACCGGAGCTATGACTTGAGACGATGGTGGTGGGTTTATTAATAGCTTGTTTGTAATGGTGTTTTCCGGGGAGATGTTTTCTTTAATTTCCGTCTTCAGCTGACTAGGTATGTTGTCTACGCTAAACGCCGGAAGTTGAGGCGATTGCTGCGATTGGCTTAGCGGGTGAGCCTGCTGTGGGACGATTGTATTCTCCGGCGAAATGTTCACCTTCAACACCTTTTCCTCGTCTTTCGTAGACTTAGACCACGGGAACAAACCTCCCATAGGACTTTCTTTACGCGAGGGAGGTTGCGAAGAGGATGTATTTTCTTTTGCTATGGCTGAGGATCCTCCGCCGGTGGCTACCGTCCCACATTCGGAACTCGGTGGACTAGATTTGTTGGAGGAAAATAAATTGCTTGGATTGAAGATGGACAGCAGTTTTTCGATGGCAGGCGAGTAACCACTGCCGGAACTGTTTCCACAGGACGAGGCCGTCGAACCGCCGTCCGCTTTCGATTGATTACCAATGGATGCTATCCAAGATGTTTTCCGCACGCGGGGTGGCTTGTCTAAGGATTTCACGGTTGCAGCTAGGTTGGGTGATTTTGGAAAAACAATTATTCTAATATTCATTCCAAAACTAATCCTACAACTTGCCTTCCTCTTACCTGGTTTATGATCCTTGTCCAAACTCTGAATCGACGTCAGGGTATTTTCATTGGAATTACCGCTACTGGCCGGTAAAGTCAATCGGGCAGCAACGCCTCCGACCAGCGAAGACGATCCACCCGACGACGATACCGACACCGACGACAAGTCCTGCACATCGTACAAGGATTCTTGCGAACTGGTGCTCATCTCCAAACTGGACAAGCTATTGTTCTTCACTTTTAACAGATTAGCATTGACTACTAAGCTAGAGGGTTCTTTGATCGTTGGAGTTAGCAATTGTGGTGGTTGTTGTTGCTTTTGTTGGTGTTGCTGTTGTTGTTGTTGTTTCTGAGGGATAAGTGTAGTACAGTCTCCCTGTTGACTGGATGTGGATTTTACCAACGGAGCCGTGCTAACCGATCCGATCGATATCGATGAAGATGAAGGTGAACTAACGATCAAATCGAAGCTTTCATCCGTCGAACTGATGGAGGTGTTGTTGAAGTGCACATTGTCAATCGAATCAATGCTACTGCTAATGGAGGAACAGCAGCTATCGTCCATGGTGGAAGAGTGCGTTCGAGTTTGTCCAGTGCTAGGGTATAATCCTACGGCTCCGCTCATAAACCGTTTCACTTCGAGATCCGGACTCTCGATCGACGTGGATGAAATGACCGAATCGTTCAGCGTACTGCTAGTGGAAGGTAATCTTGCATGCTTGGGCTTTGGTGTCGTCGGTGGGACTGAAGGTATTGCAGCTGGTAGGGGCGGTGGGAATTGTGTCTGCGGGTGGTGCTGTTGTGGTGGTGGTGGTGGTGAGGGTACTGGTAGCTGATGTTGTCCTAGCACCGGTGGCAAAGGTGTATTGGTAGCAACTGACTGTTGTTGTATTGGCGACGGTGTTAGTTTCGGTGAACTGACGAATGAGGACAATGCAGGCGCTGAACTGCTACTGGTTGGTGGCATCCGACTGATACCACCCGTAACGAGCGGTGATGGCGAAATGGACGAAGATGACATTTTCCCTAGCGGGTAGTTAGGCACAGACGACGACGATGCCGGTTCCTCAACGGTTACAACACGAAAGCGAGAATTTGCCGCGAAAAACAGTGTCGGCGAGCTTCCCGTCGATGAAGGCGACGGTGAGGTAGATGTATTGCTCGTGTTGTTGATACTGGTGAGACTACTGGTACTGCCGGTAGACTCGCCGACACGTGTCACCTGGAATCGATTCCGCGAGGGACTCGGCACCGGTGATGCGATGGGTGATGGAATCGGACTTGGCAATGGAGAACGTAATCGCCCACCAGTTTTCTTGCTCGGATCCAGCAGATGGTGATGGTGCTTCTCGCCGGCGGTTGCCGTACTCGGCTTGGCACGGATCGATGGTGTGCAGGTGAGCGAGATTTTCCGCGAGCTGAGATGCGAACTTCGCAATCGCTTGATGGATGTGCTGATCGGTTCCGACGGTTCCTGCGGGTGTTTGTTACGTTCGCACTGGGCACGAATGTTGTTCAATAGCCGGACATACTCCGGGCCAATTTCCAAGGCGTTTTCCTGCGAAAAGATGACATACAATTATTCACGGCCCATACAAATTAAAAAAAAAAAATGGTCTACGCATGGAGGGGGGGGTCAAGAATCCCAAAAAATGTCTACGTAGCTAATGAACAGCCCCTATGAATATGAACTGCCATCTTCCTCATCATTCACTGCCTCGTGAGAGTCTGAATGATTGAGAGGTAAACGAGTCACTGACAGCCGAGTACTCAGTCATTAGCTCAGTCAGCAAATTTATTCTTCCGTGAGGGGCTGTTCATAAACTACGTAGACAGTTTAGGGGGGGGGGGATTGATTATTGTCCACGGCCCCTACAAGTTTTTTTCAAATTTTTTGTATGGACAATTTTTTATGCGGGGGGAGGGGGTGTCAAAAAACGGTCTACGTAGTTAATGAACAGCCCCTATAGGTACCCAATTCTTGTTTTGAATGACTGAGCGTACATTTTCTATGTAAAAATGCCTCAATTACATGCTGTGTGAGCGAAGGCAAGCGGTGTGAGTCTCGGCGCCTAATACATAGGTGCAACAGTCGGAAGAAGTGTTAGTTTGTTTACTAAAATGAACCATGCCCATTTTGTTATGGCATGTTTGCTATAAGAAATGCGCCTCGTGTTTATTAGCGAATTTCACATCAAAGATTGATTAATTGAGTAGGAAATCAGTTTGGCACGGCATTTGTGACCAGCATACACCTTCCGGTAGTATGAAACAGGTCAAAAACTGTTCAAATCCGCAGATAAAAATTTTTGTTTTGTATAGCAAAATAGTGAACTTTTTGTGAACATTAACGGCAAAGAACTCACCAACACTGGGAGACCGTGAGTTCCTGCCCACCTGTCATAAACCCGTCTTGGGTGTGAGTCGCCTGTTCGTGAGTGACTGAATGTTTTTGTTGGCTCTTTCTTTGCGTCGTTCTTTACCGTTTAAAACAAACGGTCTGCACAGAGCAATAGACGAGTGCACGGATGGATTTGAGTTTACTCATTTGACAAAAAGTGACACAACAGCGGGGCCCTGTTTACTAAAAATGAACACATGAATAATACTCACGTAACATTTGAAACGGGTCTATCAACTTATGTACGCAAAACTTGTTAAGCCTTTTTCGCGCGAACCGAATACCCTCACGTAAACTAACAACACCATCGGGCAGAGAAAATTCTCCCCTTCCTGATAGTGCTCTTGGTTTGCGTGGGCGTACTTCGGTTCTCGTGAAAAGGACTTAGCAAATTATTTACAAAAGTTGATAGGCCCTTTTCAAATGTTATGCGAGCATTATTCATGTGTTCATTTTTAGTAAACAAGGCCCCGCTGTTTTAAAAAAAATTCAGTAGATGAACTAAAGTTCACCCGTGCACAAGTCTATGGATTGAATAGTGGAGTGCAGGGTTACTTCCACTCACTTGCTATAAACAATTGTTTTTCAGAATTATGAAATCATTAACTGTTATAATGATATTTCTTACTTTGTAAGTTACAAGAACAGGTCGTGAAGTATGTGTTTGACACATAAAATCTGTCAATATTGCTTTCAGTGCGTCACAATCAGCGATTTTACGATTCGTGAGCGCTAACTCTGAGTGAATGCTCACGAATCATAAGATCATTGATTGTGATGCTCTGAAACCAAAATTGACCGGTTTTATGAGTCAAACAGATACTTTACACCTTCTTACCTTACCTCTTTTTGTTACTTACAAGTACAACATACCATTATATTATCTCAGGCGTAACATTTGATAACGGCACAAAAGCTTTTGTAAACAAACTTTCTAAGGCCCTTTACACGCGAACCAAAGTACGCCCACGCTAACCAATACCACTTTCGGAAAAGTGAGAGTTGCCCCTACCCGATGATGTTGATGGTTTGCGGGGCGTACTTCGGTTCGCTTGCAAAGGGTTTTACAAAGTTTTTTTTTACAAAATCTATGCTTCTACGCTTCTACTATGTTGTCGGCCTAAGCAGTAAATAATGTTACGCTCTGTAACTGTTTATGTACAATAAACAAACCCGTTGTCATGAAAGTTGTCCCTAGCAACCGTTGATGTTGCACTCATGGAAGTGCTTCCTCCAACACTCCTCCTCAACATCAACTGTTTTTAATTTCCGAAGAATCTCGTAACGGCCGCAATATTGTTTTAACCCAGTACAGCTTCAATGATGTACAACAAAATTATAACGCGACCTTGATACTGATCCCCTTCCGAGAACGCTTATCCGTCTCTTTTAGTTGTACTTCCAGTGGAATAGAATTTACCAGACGATCTACCTCCTCCCGAAACAGCTCATCGTCATCGTGCTGACCAACAGTTCCAGAAATCGCTGCAATTATCGCCTAGCTTCAATATATAGTCATCAAACTCATCTCCGTTGGAACTTCCGAACAGCTTTCGACGTCTTCATGCCACGGTCAGTTCACAACGACTGGTCATTTGAATTCCATCAACAATGTCGCATCGCTTGATCTTCATATTAGCTGCCAAATTTCCCCCACTTGATCCTACCAAGAACGTCTATGTCTCGTTGACCAAATCTTCGATGCTGTGTTAAATACGTTTTTTCTTAGTAGAAGAATCCACCCGTCCAAACATGTCAGCTCAATTGATCATAACAAAACATAGTTGCAATATGCCTAAGTTGGCTAGTTTGTATAAAAATCAGCCTATTGTGCTAATTGTGCTAAATTAACAATGAAAATCCATCCATAAATGGCCATGCTTTTAAACACTTACACTATTTCGTTACTTTTTTATAATTATCGCCCAGTATAATATTACACAAAGACGCTACGTTACGGTAGTCCTACGTCAAAAACCAGAATTTATCCACCTATTGTGAGATCTGACCCTTTTTACATAAACTCAATTCTATTTTTACGCGCTTTGCATTTTTTTTCGATTTTGGCTATTTGAGATCACACGATCAAAATTAGAGGCGAAAAAAAAATCGCGTTAGAACAAAATTAAGTGTATTGACTTCATGTATCGTATGAGCAGTTTTGACCCTTGAAAGGAACCGGAAACTACCGAAGGTGTACCCGGAACGTGCCCGGATGTGTCTAGTATGATCCTGGGCTCTTGTTTTTGAATTCTTATGTGATTAGAGGTGTTGCATGAGGGTTTTGATCCAAGTCAGAAACTAGACACTTCCCCACAGGGTTCTTTGTAAGACGAGTAAACATATCGAAAGATCAAGAAAAAAATACTCACCACTACTCGCCGCGGTACGTCGTCCAGATCGATCCTCGTGACGGACTTGTTGGACTTCATCGCTTCGTTCAGATAGTCCAGCCCCGTTGCCAATATGTTATTGTTTCGCAGATCGATCCTCTGTAGCGTGGCATTGCCGCCAAACTCAATCACTTCCGCCATTACTTTAGCACCATTATCGGACAGATGTGCTCCCTGCAGCCCCAAACTAGTCAGGCTACTGTTAGACTTCAGGCTACTCTTGATGCTGCCAACAAAGTCATTGCACAGTAAATTGCAACCCGCGTTCAGTATCTCCAGCGTGGAGGTGTTTTCGATCAAATCGGAAAAGGTTTGAGCAGAATTCCGGGTGATTTCATTATTCCACAAAACCAACACCTGCAAACCACAAGGCGTATTCTGCGATTGATCTGTTAGTGGCGTTTCTCTGCTTGCATTTGACTGCTGTCGTTCGAGTGTTCCGTTACGAGCAGCAAATTTCGATTCAATTATCTTCAAACTACTCTTGGAGTCGTTCGAATCAACAGAGGTTTCGCTATTCAAGCTTTCCGAACTAAACGATCGTTCATTAGGGAACGCTGGCGGTTGACTGCCTCCTAAGAATGGGCTTTCGAATTCCGATGATCCAGTGCTATCCAGCGATCGCGACAGAGGTTTGTCTTTAAGTTGCCCTTCAACTATCTTAAGATGAATTGTTCCCAGGCTTTGAGGAGCAATTGTAGACGTTATGTCCTCTATTGTGTTTTTTGCTCCCACGATTTCGGTACGCTGTAGTGTAGCCTTCAACATTGAAGGATGATGAATAGTCTCTTCATCCTGTTCTTCCTGTTGCTTGGCTTTTTCCAATAGTAATTGCAGTTCGTCTTTTTTGTGAGTGGTCAACGGAGTGACAGGTGCACTGTCGTCGTTATCGGTTGTATTGTTATCTTCTTCTTCTTTGGTGTCATTTGATTCACTGCTATTTGCATTGATACTCCTATCTACAAGAAGATTCTCTTCCACTATTTTGAGATTTGGATCGTCGTAGTCCGCGCAAATTTCCGGTGTATCCTCATCCATGGGTTCCTCCGCTTTGCTCGGGGTTGTTTTCTTCTTTGGAATATCCGTTTTCAGTTTAAGCTCAGGCATGCTTGATTCAAATTCACTCAGTACACTGTCCTGTTTAGCGAGCCTTGCTTTCTTAGGTCCCTTAACCTCCACTTCATCACCCAGATCGAACGTGAGCTCTAAAGTCTGTATCTCTCCTCTGTCCCTTTCGGTAGCATTGCCCTCTTCTCCACTACCTTCAACGTCACTAGCACTATCAGTCCTATTGTTGTCCTGTGAGTCACAAACCACTAGCCCCGAATCAACTAAATTATCACCACTAATGTCACTGGTCATTTCACTATCCAACATCCCATCTACTCTTGTATCATGTTCTAAAGATACCACACCCGCCAAGTGCTCCTCTTCCTCACTGCCAGGTTGCGCTTTCTGTTGCTGTACTTCGGTGCTCACCACAATATTCCCGCTACTATCGCTAATCGTTTGTTCCGCTTCGCTAGAAACACTACTATTAATACCACTATCATTATTTGTACTTTTCTCTTGCAAATCTGAAGATTCATCTAACGCGGTTGTGGCTTCTGCAGGTGCAGTCGGAAGAAGTAGGGGTGGTGGTTCCTCTTCCTGGGATTCAACTGGTGGTGACAAACTGGTTGACATGAGAAGTGCTTCTCCCGATGGTGTGCGTACAGGTAAGGCCGGCGTTGGCGGTGGCGTTTTTGGAGTTTCGTTCAACAGCATTGAAAGTGGCGTCGGCGACATGGCGCCAGCGATCGAACTTTCAGAAAGTTTCGGTTGCAGATGCTGCTGCTGCTGGTGGACCTTTGACTGACGCATTTGTGATGGTTTACCGTACGATTTGGGGAAGTAGTGTTTGTTACTGTTGATGTTGCTGAGGCTACTGGAAAGATCGGCAAAGCTGAACTCGCTCTTTCGCTTCGTTTCCTGCATCGTTTTGAAGTAAATCGATTGATCTATCAGTGCGTTCACGATGTATTCTACGCCCTTATCCTGGAAACAAACACAAGAAAAAGAGCATTATTATTATGGGCACCAGATTCACTGTCGTTCTATGTAGGTAGGTGCATTTAAGCAGGTATTTCGAACTAGTATCCAAGGTGGACGATATATCCCAATAAGGTGAATTTAAGATGTTGGATATTTGACAAAATGACGGTTATTAAAAGCTTTGCAAGAAATATGACTTTCAAATTGTTAAATTTAATAGATTTCATCAGTCTTTGGCTTCTAGTTCAACTTGGGGGCCACCTAAAACAATACTCACCCCGATGCTATTGTTCGAGATATCCAACAGTTGGATGTGATAGTTGGACCGCAGCAGATTGGCCACATTCTTAGCATCATCACAGGTCAGCTGATTGTGCGCCAGCGACAGCTCCCTAAGTATCGTGTTTCTCTTCAGTAGATTGCACAACGTTGCCAGCGGCCGCTGGCTCAGTTCACAGTGTTCTAGTTTGAGCGTGTGGACCTTGGACGTGTTCAGCGCCTTCGCCAGATTCATAGCATGATGTTCGGATATTGCTGGTCCGCGGGTGATCAGCACATTCAACGCTTGGCTCTTTTTTACCATGTTGATGCAGGCAAGCCAACTCTTGTTCGACATGGCTAGATTATCGGAGATGTCCAGCTCGTTAGCGGCTTCGTAGTATTCGATCATATCGAACAGCACACTGGCACTGGTGTCGTCCAGTCCGGCGTTGGAGAGATTAATACTGCGGTACTGAACACGTTTGAAGATTTCCTCCAGCGCTTCGCACGAGCCATGGCTGAGATTCTGATCCTTCAGCGAAAGCAACGGTACTCGCTGGTTCACGGCAAGGTCCAGCTTATTGAGGTGCTCCGTGATCATGGGTAGTGGTTCAGTAGAGTGTTTCGCGCAAGATTTCTGGTATAATTCGTTAAGTTCCGGCACACTTATAATGGTTACTGTTAAAAATAAAGGAAAAAGATTTACATTGTAATATTGATGCAAGTTATGAAAGATTTGTTATAGAGTTAGCTGTAGAAATTGTAAGTCAGTTCATCGTGTCGATATGCAGTTCTGTCAGAACACTCAGGCAAAGGAACGTAAAAATTTCAAAAGAACCAATTTTCGACAAAAGGATTTCTTAAGACGCAGAATTTATTCAAGATTAGAAACAGAAATTATAAGTTAGCTTATGAAACTTTTAAAAAATTGCAACATAAAATGTAGTAGACCGGAATCGAACCCTTAGCGTTCGGATTATTAATTCCATGATTTCTAGACTAACATTTGAAAGGGGCGGAAGAGCCAAAATGTAAACAAACCATATATTGCCACATATAGAGAGAACAGTTCACAAATTACTCGATAAACACGAAAAAGTAGAAGAAAATATAATTTCAAATCATCAAAAACGTTTCCTTTTACATGGCGTATTTCCAATTTTCCACTCTTTGATGCATCTGGTTGTTACGCCTTGCACCAGAACTACGAATTATATTATTTTAATATGCCAAACGTACTGATTCAGTATTATCTAGTCACGCCCGATTCTTTCGAAATGCATCCGATATATAATGAGAGAGAGAGAAGGATTAGTTATTTTCCATTTAATTCCACTACCTTATTTGCTTATCCTTGACAGATACGCGTATTTCGTCTACAATGTGCAGACTTCTCTTCAGTGTCTTGTACTAATACTCGACTCAATATACTATAGTTTTTAGTGATCGACGATTATAGATTCCAATATTAACTATATACTAAGCTAATCAAATTATCCATAAAATGGAAAGTCGTGAAATAGGATTAATTTTTAGGTCATCAAAATTCGGAAGCTATTTTCTCGATATGGTTATTTTGAAATTCCACCCTTTTTAAATGTTAGTCTTGATTTGTTCTAATTTCTATCTACGCTTGGAAAATCGAACAGGGTAAAGGCGTATAAGAACCACTCGTAATACCTCATGTAGAACGATAATTTTCGAGGGGCGCGCACTAGTATTTCAATATTTCACAGCCTGCAGACCAAATATTTAAAATCTTGCCATTACTACATTCATTACTTTAAATACACTCTTAATTTCATTTTCATTTCGCTGCAAAGGTGGGGCAGTAGGAGCGCAAGTCAATCCAAGGCCGATAGTAAAGGAAGTAATGGCAGACCCGCCATATGCAGGCTACATGATCACCATGGGAAGGCATATTGATTAGATTGAGGTAGGTGGTTGGATGATTTTTGGATTGAGTTCTCCATAATGCTACAAAATGATATGGTGAAGCCATGATTTGCGTAAATAATTTGAAATATGAATGAGTTATTTAGAATTCATTACTGAGAGTTCTGCTCTGCTTTGAATCAAATTTGAACTACTGAACATCCATAATATATAAACCCTTGTATCTCAAAATTTAGGAAAAAATCTTAAAGGATTATATATCAATCCGGAGCCCGGAGGAATTGAATATCGTACTCCACAAAACTAAGATTAAAAAAAAATAGATTGGTCTCACCCGATATTCTTGAAATACTTGACGTTTTGAATAACACATTTCCATTTCCAGACTTCGAGATGTTAGTTTTCTTGAAGGTAATTGCTTGATTCATCTTTCGCTTTGTATTTCTACGAATTGACTCTATAAATATATTTAAAAAAAAACAACGCCACCCAAAAACTCTAGACCGAGTGCAAAATCTTTAAGACGATACTTTCCAAACGTGCATACCCATAGAAATAAATCAAATTCAATAAAGGATTGATTTAAAAAAAAACAGATGTTTCCTACTGTGACTAAATCCAACATTCCTACTAAAAAATCAAATGCTGTGCTTAATCATATATTATTAAATGAAGGCGAAATAATGAATTCCAAGATGGCGACATCCGGTTGGACAGAAACTGGATAATACTGTGAAATACCCTACAATATGGATATTTTTTCTAATTGAAAAGGGCCTATCAGCTTTTGTACACAAAACTTTGTAAGCCCTTTCCCCGCAAATCATATGCTGCCCACACACCAAAAAATTCTGAATTTTACTAGCGATGTAAACATCCATGCATGCAACATTCAAACATGTAAACTTCCTTTTCACGTAAACTAGCAGCTTGCAAGAAATGTTGCAAACAAAAGTGGACTGTTGCATACAATATATAAAATATTGCATTACATGTCTCATAAATTTACACGATCTATAATCTAAACTTGTATGATATATGACGGTCCATTTATGTGCATCATAGTAACGGAAATTTACACTCCTTTTTTAGCTACGCAACCCAACAGCGGGGTAGAAGAAACTTTAGTTTTGTGGCATGAAATCTATAATTTCAAATTTTTCGTGAAAGTCGTCTTCAAGAAAATTTTAGAACTTTGAACATTGTTCTGAAAAAATGATCATGATGGCTCATCCTAATATACACTAACATGATTTTTTTTAACTTTACAGGCAGGCATGACCCCTTAGCCTGCCTGTAAAGTTAAAAAAAAATCATGTTAGTGTATATTAGGATGGGCCATCATGATCATTTTTTCAGAACAATGTTTTTTTGGTTCCATTTGGGGTCCCAAACAACTATGCAAAATTTGGGGACGATTGGTTGTAACCCGGCTTTCCACATGGTGTTTGAAATTTGTATGGAAATTAGTATGGGAAAACCTACTTTTTTGCATCTTTATTACTAGGGACCACAATTTTGCACAAACCACGCATCTAAATACGTTAAAGTATAGCCCAGGAAGTGGGTTATTCAAAAACATTAGCTCAATCTCATAAGAGCAGTTTGAAAGCGAGTACCCCCATTCCCTTCCTTACTCTTTTGGTGCAATATACAAGATATATTCACACAAATGTCATTGGATTGTTATGATTATATTTCATTTTAATATATTCCACGATTTCTCAAGGTACTCTTTTCGTTGCTGTTCTATCCGCTGAAGCAAATATTGCGGTTGAACTAGGTCTCGGGTGAATTTCTTGATAAGTCAGAAATTAGTTTCACACCTCATTCAGCCATTTCCATGTAAATCATCTAGGAAGCAACTCGTTGTATCGCATTGAAATAATCTGTATCATTACTCCACTCGTTTGCCGGTTTTTGCATGAAGCCTCGAAATTTCGAAAAGGAATCAGCACTGTTAGAAATGACGTTTGACTTGGGAGCCCAACTGAAACGTAGCCCACTTAAAGTTATCCCAACATGCGAAATCCAACTGTACCTGTGTCTGAGACGAAACTGGTGAAGATAGTTTCCGTTTTCTCCTACTTTTGGTTTTTGACGTACGACTACTTCTGTGTCTTATATATGCGGGTGGCCCGAATGGCAGTTTAATATTTCAAATAAAAGCTTTATATAGAAATAATATAGCAGTTGGACCAATAATTCAAACAACATCTCCTCACAAACAAATGAACGGACAAGTGGATATTAAATATTTACACTACAAAAAATTTCGTTTTGAAACTACTTATATAACCCACCTCCCCCCCCCCCTCGCTCTCTTACGACGCTTATGAGATTGAGCAAATGTTTTTGAAGAATTCATCCTAAACATGCCAAATCTATAAGATTTTTTTTTTTAGGGGAGTTGAACCACTGCGTCCATTATTTGAACTTTTGTGGTACCCTGTTTACTGTTCGTATCTTGCAAGCTGACCACCATTTAATGAGTGGACAGCTAATTGCCTGGACACGTCCTTTCCCAGTCAGGTATGATATGGTTTATGGAACCAACTACCTTTCCAGGATTAGCAGACCAAATTCCACTAGGTTGTAAGATAACACTACGAAGAAATTTAGATCTACGCCTGTGTAATGCACCGCAACTGCAAAGCAGATGTTCCGAGGTTTCACGTTCTATGCTACAGAAACGGCAGATATCGCTCTGAACCCGACCAATGTTCTTCAAATGATATCTACTCGAACAGTGCCCCCAAGAGCTTTTTGGTATGTGTTACATTTGGAGTTATAAATCTTTTCGACTGGTTACACTTCGTGACGGCAATCCAGTTGGCCATCACCCTTTGTTCTTCCCAGCGTTTGAGTTCCATTTTTACCGTACAGTTTGATATTCCACAGTATGGTTCTGGGCCAATAAACGGTGAATTGGAACCTAATTTTGCGAGATCGTCTGCCCTTTCATTCCCTTCAATGCCACAGTGTCCAGGAACCCAATATAAGTTTACTGAGTTCTGTTTGCACAGCTGTCGCAACAAGAGAATTCATTCCTAGACAATCTTTGATGTTCATTTGTAAGCACGAAGCGCTTTTAGTGCTGCTTGACTGTCAGAAAAATACAGATATTTGCACATCTATATTTTCTCCTTAAGCAAACACTTACACATTTAAGTATGGCCACGATTTCCGGTTGAAACACTGTTGGACAATGTCCCATCGCTACTGAAATATTAGTCCCAGGGCCAAAGATTCCTGCACCTGTTGTGTTCCAATTTTTGAGCCATCGATAAGATAAGAAACTCCCAAGTTTTTTCAGTTTGAGACTTTACTTCAATTGATATGAGTGAATAATTCATCTCAACATACCAAATAGACAAGATAAGAAACTCCGAAAATATTTCAGTTTGGAATTTGACTCCCATTAGTACACCAGCAGTGTTGGTAGAAACAGGGATTCTGGGTGTTTACTTCAAACCATAAATATTTGAATAGTTATAACTTTTTTTAGATACATTATAGCTTTGTACTTCCTTTGGAAAAGTTGTTAGGCACTTCCTGGAATATATTTGTACATACTTAGTTGCATGGTTCATGCAAAATTGTGGTCTCTAGGGATAAAAATGCAAAAAAGTTGGTTTTCCCATACTAATTTCCATACAAATTTAAAACGTAATGCGGACAGCCGAGTTACAACCAATCGTCCCCAAATTTTGCACAGTTGTTTGGGACTCCAAATGGAACCAAAAAAGGGTTGTTCTCGATTGGTGAGGTAAAGTTTGCGTTTTTCCATATAACGATGACCCACTCTAGTGTTAAGATTATTTTTTCAAAATGTCAAAGTGATCCGATAAAAATTGACAAAATTATGCGACTTGAAGAGTACCATATCTATGATTCCGGGAATATAACTTAAAACATTACGGAACGCAATTATCTCGAAAATTTATTTTCAAAGTCGGTGTCCGTGATAACGCAAATTAAATACATCCGAATTCTTTAATTGTTTTCGAATATTGTTTAGAACTCTTTATGTAATGCCTTGATCGTTCGGATTAATCGGATTTCACATATTATTAAAATTCGATTTTTTAGAGCCGATTAAAGACAGGTTTTTTTTTAATTTTAAAAGGCAAAAAAAAAAGTATAATCCACGATCACCGCCTGAATTGACAGATTGCTAATGCAACCCCTTTGAAATGTTTGACTTCAGACAATTTCTGCTCTTGTCACCGTGGGCAATGCGGAACGTCTTTTTAAAAAGGCCTCCTCCTGGGAGCGGCCTCCTGGGCAACACACGACAACCAGGAAACCATTTTACCTAGTATCATACTTTCCGGCAGATGCTTCCAATAATTTGGTATTTTGTAATCGTAAAATTGAACATATCTCTATGATGCATCTGGTTGCTATGCCGAATTATATTGTTATAATATGCCAAACGTACTAATTCTGTAGTATCTAGTGACTAGACTAGAGCGTAAAATTATTGACTGCCTAGGCTGAGTGTGAAAGCACTGCACTATTCAATCCATTGCTCTGTGCAGACCGTTTGTACCAAACGGTAAAGGACGAGGTAATGAAAGAGCCAACAAAAACATTCAGTCACTCACGAGCAGGCGACGCACACCGCTTGCCTTCGCTCACAGAGCATGTAATTGAGTCATTTTTACATAGAAAATGTACGCTCAGTCATTCAAAACAAGAATTGGGTACCATCACGGCAGAATAAACGTGTTGACTGAGCTACTGACTGAGTGCTCGGCTGTCAGTGACTCGTTTACCTCTCAATCATTCAGACTCTCACGAGGCAGTGAATGATGAGGCAGATGGCAGTTCATATTCATATCAAAATGACTCAATGAACCTGACTGTTTTGCGCATTGATCTAGTCACGCCCAATTCATTTGAAATGCATCCGATTGATATTTTATGTGTAAACAACGAACAAAAAGAAGACCAAAATGTCTCCGGGTGTAATTCCACTTTCACAAAATTTGCGAACAGTGTTGGCAAAATCAGAAATCAATTGATATTTTTCCGCTCTCATGCGCTCGCAATATCACGCGTGATATTGGAACAAAATATCATGCTTGATATTGATTTTACAAGCTCCTTTGATATTGCGAGACTATTCACAACGTGCAAAAATCAAGCTGAGAGTTGACTCGACACAAAAATGATTCCATTGCACATCGGTTTTTCTTAGAAAAAGAAAGCATAGTTCGCTATCTCTTTTTAATCTTCACCGATGGCAGACGCGAAGGGACTGCTGCAAGCCGTTATGGAAGTTTCGGTTGCATTGGGGTGTAAAGCAAAAATCATTAAACTCAATCTCACCACAGTTTGGTGAGATTTGCAGTTGGTGAGTTTTGTTAGCTTGATACTCCGAACTGCGATATCACAGCTTGCAAAATCAACCGCAGTTGTTTGCTTGTTGATTTTTGTCTACGAAAATCAAGCGTGATCTTGGGCGTTGGTGAGATTTGATTTTTTGATATTTTCCCAACACTGTTTGCGAACAAAGAACCAAGGAGGAACACAAACAAAAAATCCCGAGGGTGTATTTCCACGGCGTATCACTAGTGTTGGCAGTTCAAAGGGTGGAAAATCCGGGGGTAACAACATGTAATAAATTTATATTATATTATGATGTTTTCTTCTCAATTTTGTTTTCCGTCGAGCTTGTTTTCCGTGCTGTCAAAGTCAAAGTTGTCAATTTAGTATGAAATCGAAATGTGCTGCTATTACATATATCGAACAGCATTGTATATGCACAGTCCCTTATGTATTTACTCGTCTGTGCTTAGTGCGGTACTCTATCTTTGCTTATAGGCCATTGAACGGTCCTCTGAAATATCCGGAACTTCAATAGAGCTCTGATTTTTTTTGACGTGAATTTGTGAAAACCAAAAATGGAACATGTAACAAATTAAGAAAGATTTTACACGTTAATAACTCAGCTGCCCCTGGTCCAATTTCAATAATTTTATCACCAATCGATCAGAAATATGACTACGCATCGATAACAATGCTTCCGAATGTTGATTTTCAACTAGAAACTATTGAAAAACTGGTAAATGTCCAGCATTGTCCAAAAGCGTCGAATTATCTAACAAATCCACCAATTACCTACATGCATATGCTGCTTCCCCAGCACAGTCATCAAAAAGTAGTAAGTAGACGAAACAAGTCGAAGTGGCATTCGCCTCCGATCCTCGGGCGCGTGCGAATAGGGAGGATGGAATTGCGTAATATTTTGCCCACTCATCGCCATACTCAGAACCACACGCTCCCAACGACCACACCACTGTGTGGTGGTGTTCGGTCGTCGAAATTAGTAGCAGCAGCAGTAGCAGTGCTTTCGGCGTGTGGCGTTGAAAATTGTTCTCCAGTAACAACGAAAGGCTTCCTGCAAGCAGCGAGCTGCAGAGCCCACCTAAGCAACCATCAAAGGAGGAAGAAGCTGCACCGCTATGCTATGGATCGGAATCAGTAGCTCTTCGTGAGTCGCTGCGGGTCGGTCATCTATGCCATGCGTGTCACCCTCGCTCCAAACGACATACAGCTCGACAGCCTCATCCGTGTTGAATACCCAGCTCAGAATTACTCAACCATCACTACAAAACGGTTTTTTTCAGGGCCACCAAAAATTTGTTTAAGAGTATTATTTGGAAATTGGTCAAGGTCATCAATTTCCCGCAAGCAGCTAACTATCAAGGCTCAACCTGTCTATAGAAGGTGTGGAATTGGAGGCCTGAATATATTGGTGCAATTAGTTTTTCCTCGGCTTTCATTCCGCACGATTCGTTTCTTTCGTTTAATCAATCACCCTTGTAGTGACGTCGAAAAGATTGTTTCAATCGGCGCTTACATATGAAATTTAATGTCAAATTTTGCCAAATATAAATGAAATTATTGAAGGACTTGGTTTCCCCTAGGCCCTGGATGTTCGTGATTTTTAGAATTATTATCTTTCAATAAAGCATAATACTGCATAGTCAAATGTGTCTACAGGGATTAGGCAAAAAATTTGCACTAGCAAAATTTTGTCGAACTTTAAAGTGCCACAGTTGTTCTAGACTAACATTTGAAAGGGGTGACAGAGCCAAAATGTAAACAAACCATATTTTGCCACATATAGGGAGAATAGTTCACAAACTACTCAATAAATACGAAAAAGTAGAAGAAAACATCAAAGCGGTGCCTGTGGTGTAGTGGTAAGCGTGATTGCCTCTCACTCCAAGCCTGGATTCAATCCCAGTCGGCGTCGCCGGGATTTTCAGAGGCATAAAATCTCTGATCACGCCTTCCCTTCGGAAGGGACGTAAAGCCTTGGTTGGAAACTTGTTATACCATTTAAATTGTGTTTTAAAGTAGAATCTGATTGATTTGTACATTGTACAATACATTGAAAAATGATGCAAATATTATAAATTACATATAACAATAACAATTTTTCGACAGCAAGACTAAAACAATAAAATTTTCAAATAATCTTTTACATGCTAATTCACTTTTTTTTAAGTATTTGTAAAATAATATTTAAAAAAAAAACTTCAACAGCAGCGATGCCAATCTCTTGAACAATCGATCTGCGATTAATTTTACCACAATCACAATTCAGTACACACGGCCGGTGAGATCAACTCAAAATTGTGTCCAATTTATCTCAAAAACGTAAAAAGTGGGGTTATGTACTAGTAAAGTTTTGTTCAGTCTTTGAGTAGATTGAGTAAAATTTTCCTCATATTGGAGCAGATTTTTGAGGAAAATCGAAGAAAATTTTACCCACTAACGATTTTGAGCGAAATCCTATTCAATTTTGAGTTGATCTCTCCGTGCAGAAGATCGAATTAAACTACTGAAGATCTCATGCATTATCGAATGAGATGGTTTTAATAAACTGCGCTATGAACCTCTAGAGCAGTGATGCTTGATTCTCTGTAATGCAACAACCTCAGCTTGAATTTGTGTTTGCAATACGAATATATGGCCCAAATGATTAGGAAATACGCTAAATTCAATTTAAAAAATGACTATCGAACAAAGATAGAGCTTTTGGAAAAATGGGCATGAGCACCACTACTCCAGAGCAGCGCTGTCCAACGTGCGGCCCGCGGACCGGACATTGACTCTGAATCTCTGCAAGGATATCATTCTAGCCCAATTTTATTCATCATTATGAATTTTAGCCCAGAATGAATGGGAAATAAACTTCAATGCATCTTGAAACATGTTAATCGATCAAAGATACAGCCATTTAAAAATCAAATTTAGAAAGTTTTGGCAGGCCTGCTCTAGAGTCTAGACGATTGAATAGTATCATTTAGATAAAAAAAAAGCAATGAATAAACGGTGCCTATACATACCACACGCCCACGGATCAATCGGCTCCAGATAGCCGGTGATGAGCTGCGCATCTTTCGGAAACGAAACTCGCCGTCGGATTCCGCTGCTCCGTTCGCCCATTTTGTACTTTTTCAAGCTGCTCTGCAGTTGTGGCGACGACGACGAAGTTCGATTGTGATACATGAGTGTATGCTTGGCGGCATCGACATCCTGCAGCTGACGTTGCTTCTGAGGCACCTGCTGGTCAGATAATGTGACCACGTTTATCAAATCACCTATTTCCGCATCACAAATAGCAGAATCATCCATTTTGAGTGGCGGCGCTTCCGCCCGAACTTGTGGCGGCGATGTACTTACTGTTGCTGCTGCTGTTGCGGGTTGCTGTTGGTCCACTGCCAGCGGAGAAACGGAAGGTGACGATGAGGTTGAGGACGCCGATGATGTACCCGATGATGAAGAAGAGCCCGACGAAGGAGAGGACGATGATGAAGAGGACGTTATCGAAGAGGATAACGTTGTTGCAGTGGAAGGAAAGATTTGTACTATCTCTATCGGTGCTTGCCTCTGCTCTTCTTCTTCCGCTTTACAACTGGGGGTACGTTCAGGGGTACTAGTGACCAATGTGGCTGTCGAAGCCGCTAATGGTGGAAGGGCACTTTCAATCGAACTCAACTTCTTTGCCGTCGCCTGCTGATCACTGCTGCCTATTGCTGTACTGTTGTTATTGTTGTTTAGTTGATTATTGCTACTGGAAACGTTCAAGGCGCCTTCGGTGCTGCTAGTGGTTACAGATTCATCGTAATCTTCGGATGAGGACGGAGTCGACAGTGAGGACGAGGACTGGATCGGAAGAGTATTCCGTGGCTGATGTTCTATTGGTAAGTCAGTTGCAACCTGCGCTGCCACCGGTGCTAAGGTCGGCTGCTGCTGCTGTTGCTGACGATGGATCTGCTCAGGAGTCAGATCCTCGACTAACGCCACCGTACTGGCTTCTGATGAATCTGCAGATGCAGCTGCATCTTCACTCGTGATCGTCATCGTTGTCGTCGTTGATTTTTCGTTCGCAGCGATGTTTGCCACCTCTTCCGGATGTGATTCGGACCCATCGTCACCAGTGCCAGTACTGGTTCGGGACGATGCCGACAGCGACGATACCGTCGTTGGTGATGATGATGAAGAAGGTGAAACTTCAACCAGTGTCGATTCTTCCTCCTCTTCCGCACCGAGCGATGACAAAGATGATGCTGCTGCTGCTGTTGTTGTTGTTGTTGTTGCTACTGTAGAGGCTGTTGTTTGAGCTACGTTGGTTGGATCAATGCTCATTTTTTGCCTGTGCCTTGTGTATTCTGGGCCTATCTCAACTTTTCACTCTCGTTTTGTTCATTCACTTTGCCGTCTGCCGACGACGGTCGATGGCTGCCTTTGAAGCTAGTGCACGTTTGGTACGTCCTCTCGCTGTGTTTACGTTTCGGTCTGTGTTTTGCCTGTTAAATATAGAAACCAGAAATAGATAAAAAATAAAAGAGTCAATCATATGTGCGACTATTATTATTGGCGATGTTGCTATATGCTATGTATATGTATATCTAGGATTTTTTACAGATTATGATGACAAATATATTCGAGATGGTCAATATTGTAATTCGGTTGACAAGCATCAATTATGTAAATAGGTTTCAGGTTTTCCCCTCAATTTTCTATTTGGAATTCCCGACTTTTCCCGATTTTCTCTTAAAGCTAAAACAATTGCCGGTTATTAATATTCAAAACTGTTATTCAAATATCTAAGAACACCACGAAAATTTTGAGGTTGAATATGAAGGGATGTTCTGCTTCTAGAAAGTTTCTAGTTGCTCATGGAAAAATAGCTAGTTTAGAAAAAAAAAAAACAAAAAAGTAAGTTCTTCAAATTAAATACATAGGGTAAATGTCGGCTTCGGCACCCATTGACTGTTTTCGACAACCATACGTTAATGTCACTGTATATTCTTATCAAAACACCTTACTGAATGTATTCAAACGATTCCTTAGTCTTTCAGCATCTGTTATATCAAATTTGTCTTTAAATGAAATACACGCACTACAAAATGCGACTGATTTCGAGTTGCCGATAATAGAACAGATGTTTTTTTTCTTCGATTTGTTTTCCGTGCTGAGCACCAATGCTACCGACGCCAGGGAGGCAGCTCCCACACCTGGACCCTACCTATCGAGCAATCAACTCATGAACCGGGGACCAACGGCTTTACTTGCCTTCCGAAGGAAGGCGTGGTCACAGATATATATGGGATTGAACCCAGGCCTGCTGGAGTGAGAGGCAATCACTTACCACTGGCGCCGCTAATAGAACAGATGGTTAACACGCAGTTCGAATGGAAAGGTTGCCGACAATAGTCACACTCACGTGAGTAGTTTGGACCGTTGTAAAAATGCTTTCAAACAGTTTTGAACAATTCTGTCGATCGGAATGGATAGAGAAGTAAGCAGCAGATAAATGTAAACAAACAAACATATGTGTGCGTGACGCTGAGAAAATGCTGATAAAAGTGCGGACGTTGCTTGGATTGACGAGAATACGTAAATTCCCCTATGTACTCAATAGTTATCACAATATCATGCTTGATATAGATTTTACAAGCTCTGCGAAACCTGGGGGGAAGATGACTGTCAAATACGAACAATTGTCGCCAACCTCGCAAAACTGGTTCCAAACGACAACAAAGCCATTAAGCAACGATGGTTTGTTGATGTTTGGAACCAAATGCACATATGGAAAATCAATGAGGTGAGGGGCTCAGTAAACTTGTCGTCTCTTTTGTTCTCCCGCTGATTGAATGGATGACGGAGTTTGACGTCACACTCCTTCAACCGGTTAAACGGCGGGAGAACGAAAGAGATGACAAATTCACTGAGCGTTACATATTTACATCTCATTGATGGATGTTCAGTAGGCGGATTTGACAACACATCCCACCCCTGGCCCTGTGAGAAACTACTCATCACATGTGAAATAGCAGCTGATAGTTGCCGCGACGCAAAATTGATTGCGTTGCACATCATTTTTTGGAAAGAGATAGAATAGTTTGCTCAGTGGCGTTTTCTTAAACTTAATCTACCTATGCAGCAACTCTCAAAACATAAACAATTATCAAAATATTGCTTGCAATGGATAGATATCGAGCACACTAAGTTTATTTTACCGAAATCCATGAAATTTTACCAAAATCTCAACAGCTGAACGTTCGGTAAACAGTTCGGTGATTTTTCACAGCTGTCCTGTAATTTCTCAACGAATATCTGTGAAAAATCACCGAACTGTTAACCGAACTTTCAGCTGATGAGATTTCGGTAAAATTTCACAGATTTCAGTAAAATAATCTTAGTGTGAGTAAACTAGAAGATTAAGCGTATTTTTAAACCGATTCGTGTATGAATATGACATTAAATCTGGTTTTGAAAGTTGATGCACAGGTAAAAAAAGTGAGGTTACGGGACCCCACTGAGTTTGCTATCTCTCTTTACTCTTCACCCATGCCAAACACGAAGTTACTGGTGCCAGCAGTGATGGAAGTTTCGGGTCGCGTTCAGATGTAAAACAAAAATCTTGAAACTCAAACCCACCACAGTTTGGTGTAATCGTAGCAACGATATTACAGCTCGTAATATCATCCGCTGCAGAGTTTATAATAGAAGAGTTGCGCAGACTGAAATCAAAATCTACCTATCGACCTGTCAAACCGTCTACCTATGGAGAATAGTAGCGAACTGACTCTGTTGCGTGGGAAGTATTGTTATCGAAACTAGAGGAAACTTTCACAACCCAGGTGAAGTCATCCGAGGTGTAAACAAAAACAAAGGTTGCCAAAATAATAAAAATGTCCATTGAATTCTGAATCAATTATTGAGTGATCTTTAAAAGATCCGGAACAACCGTGTAAGTAGTAAATTCTTGAAACTAGTCCTGGAGGTCTATGATTTCGTTCCAAAGCACTTTTTATTTATTTATTTATTTATTTACTTGTCTTCGAATTATATCGTACAGACAGATAATACTGTTAAATTATGCTAATTTTAAACAGTCTTGATAATATTGAAATCAAAATTGACAAACACTTCATTAAAACGACGACAACAAAGATCAAACGACTTGTTCTGTTCAAAGAGAGTGCGGTGCACACGAAGGCGGAGAAAATCAGCATGTCGAGTTGTTCTGGCTGGAACGTTGAAGGATGTCAAATATGAAAAGCCGCTGCAACAGGATCCTCCATTAACCAAGGTCGGCAGATGTATCAATGCACAGCGATGCTCGTAGTGTGAAAGTAGGACAGGATCATTCCACAGAAGCAAGCGAAGCGCAAATCGAAGATAGTTTCGTTGAATACGCTTGATGCGGTTAATCTGAATGGCGTAATATGGCGCCCACACCAGCACACCATATTCAAGAATGCTACGTTCCAGAGAGTCTTAAAGCAGAAAATGTATTCGAACTGTTGCGGGTTTCGCTTGATGAATCCAAGCACTACGTACGCCTTGCTGGTCGTTGCTGCTACGTGTTGTAGAAATTTCAGATTACTGTCAAATAGCACCCATAAAAAAACAGATCAAAATATTAAATGAAACGTAATTAAAAATACCATGTAGGAAAATATATAATGATATTAGACGTCGTGACCATGTTACAGACGCTATAAATCAATGAAGACGCATGGTAGTCTAGTCGCATAGGAGTATTGAGCGGAAACCCAAAACTTGAAACTTAAAAAAACTCAAAATCGAAAAAAAAAAAACACAGCGCTGATTTTTTGATATGCTGTGTAAAAAAGCCTCAATTTTCAAGGAAAAATATAAAAAAACATATTTCATCCAATCAATGTTTTTCAATACAATATCCCAAAATTTTTAAACATAACATTTTTGCTAAAAAGTATTTTTAACTACTATTGATATTTTGATCTTTGGCCCAAGTTATGAAGTCATTAAAAAACAATTTTTTTGACCATCTTAACATGGAAATGGTCACCCTAATGAAAAAAAGGGACAAAACTATTAATTTTTGAGAAATGCTGAAAACCACTATATTGTTTTGCTATATATTAGGGTGGATAATCATGATCATTTTTTCAGAACAATTTTTTTTTGGTTCCCAAACTGTTGGCACACGAATTTTATTATAATTTCTAAGGACAGAATTCCAAGAGGGATAGGGTTTTTGATCTAATTTCCGTCCTACTAAGCACAACCCGCGCTTTACCTCTCTTTTCTGAACGAATTTGAACGAAAAATGGAGTATTTTTGTCAAAGATCATTTCTAAATTTATTCACCTTTCCATACGTACCGTTGGATTTGATAAAGAGTCACACATTGTTGAGATATTGTTTAAAATCTAATACTGCTTCTTGATTCTAAATTCGTTCTACGAGTTTCAATTCCGTCCTAACGCATTGAAACGCCATTAGATTTCCTTCGTCCTACGGGTAAACGTAGAAAAAGAGGAGCTAGGAGCGCTTCTTTTGTTTTGAGAACAATGAGCGTAAATATTCATACAATGCGCTCTAACAGGGTTTACGTTGTAGCTAATGAACTAACGCATCGGAACAAACCTATTATTGCTTTGTGCATGGTGAAATCATTGATATTATTGATCTTTTCTGATCGATAGAACGGAAATGGGCGATTACGACGAAGTAGTGCTTTACCCTACTGAAAAAAAAACTTCGAGCAAAACATCAACTGCAATCTGCTTTCATTCAAGGTAGTTCGGAGAAATTTTAGATTTCATGCGATGCCTGACATAGTTTTGAGTAGAATTCCAAGAAAACTCTGAATTGAACTCAAAATCAATTTTAATTAAAACTCTTAGGAATTTCTGAGGAGTTTGCGGCAGAAAACGAATCAGGAGCATAAGAACTTAGACGTTTTTGGGGAATACTTAAGGAGTGAGGGGATGCTAATAGGAGGATATAATATAAATCTGATAATAACTCCAGGAGATCTTGAAAGGAATTCCAGGAGAGTTTGCCAAACAAATTAACAGGAAAAAGCAACAATGCTACCCACGCCAGGGAGGCAGCTTCCACACCTGGACCCTAGCTATCGACCCATCAACTCATGAACCGGGGACCAACGGCTTTACTTCCCTTCCGAAGGAAGGCGTGATCAGAGATGTATGCTTCAGAACATCCCGGTGGCGCCGACTGGGATTGAATCTAGGCCTGCTGAGATGAGAGGTAATCAAGCTTACCACTACACCACCGGCGTCGCTATCTAAGGAATTTATAAGGAGAAATACAAGTTAATGCTCAGGAGACTTTCAATGTGAGAAGAATTTTAAGGGAATGAGTGATATTCAAAAGAAAATCTAAAATTAATTCAATGAACATTCTGATAATCTTTCCAAATGTTTCCAAATGGTTTTTTTTTTCTGATGAGAATTTCAAGGAAATTCCGAGGAAACCTCAAAGAACTTTGAATTCGGAGGATAGT